AGTTGTTTCTGTGTTTTAAAAAATCATGATATCTTATATTTCAAAAAATGCATACTAGTTTAGAAATTTGGAAAAAAAATATGATTTCCTCCTAGAATTCTTTTCTCTTCACCTTGTTGAGAAATGCTAGAAACTGACAGAAGGAACTAACTGTTAAAAAAAACCAACCTAAATTAGATGTTTTTTTCTTTAAAAGAAAAAAACACAAAATAGTTCTGGCTCATACTTTCTGTATCCTGAGGAAATTAATTTACATACATTACTTTTTAAATGGTCTTTTGCAGTAGTACAGACCCATGGGAAAAGTGAAAGTGTGAAAGAATGTACCTAAAATAATTTTACTGCTTTGCTTTATTACATTTATTGCGGTGGCATTGGTTAATAAAATTCTATATGTTTCAAGTATATTTTATAATACATCATCTATATATTGCATTGTGTGCTCACCACCCGAAGTCAAATCTCCTTTGTCACCATATATTTGACCCCTTTTACCCTTTTCTACCTCTCTCCCTCCCTCCTTTCCCTCTGGTAACTACTAACCTGTTGTCAGTGTCTATGAGTTTTTGTATATTTGTTTGTTGATTTGTTGCTTTCAGTTTTATATCCTACATGTAAATGAAATCATATGGTTCTCAACTTTTTCTATCCGACTTATTTCACTTGGCATGATAATCTAAAGATCCATCCATGTTGTTGCAAATGGCAGTATTTTACCTTTCCTTATGGTTGAGTAATATCCCATTGTATGTATGTACCACATCTTCTTTATTTATCATCTATCGAAGGACAAAATGCTGCAATGAACATAGGGGTACATATATCTTTACGGATAAATGTTTTCAGATTCTTTGGGTAGATACCCAGAAGAGGGATTGCTGGGTCATATGGTNTAGAGTTAATTCACATGTATTATATATTAGGATCATTAAAGTAGAAATGTTACATCATGTCAAAATGATTACAAAATATTTTTTGGTTAGAAATTTTCTCCAATACAAGCACAATTCGTACATATTATTTTCATAATAATGCAACATTAAAAAAATTATTTGATGCTATTTAAACAGTGAAGACACAGTTGGCTTTAAGCCAAAAAATTCAGATATTCTTAGAGAATCGTGTTGCTTTTCATCGTAACACTCATCGCAGTTGTAATTTCTTACTTATGTATGTGATGATTGATTAGTACATTTCTCTCCCCTTAGACTAGAAACTCCATCAGAGCAATAACCATGTTTGCTTTTATTTATCACAGTAAGGTTTATTTAAATAATAATAATAAAATTTCCTTATATGAACTCAGCCAGAGATGGGGCCAGGAATTAACACCTTCCTTTGGTTTCCTAACACTTCTCCTAGCCATACCATCTCAATGAGACCACTTTCTTACCCTGTGTAAACATTGTTGCCTCTGACAGAAGACAACATAACTGAGTTGAAAGTTTAAGTCAAACCATCTTGAGAAAGCAAACCTAAGTCACTTACCATTTTTCAGTCTGTCATATCCCATTGAATGACGGATTTCTTTCAGGGTAGACCCTTGGGCCCCAAGTTCCATCACTCCCATTGCAAGGGTGACACTCAGTGGAGAGAAAAGAATATTTTCATCTTCCCCAGTGGCTCGGAGATGGTTATACATATTCACTGACAACTCAGCAATGGTTTCATCAGGGAATGTGGTCCCTAAAGCCAAACTTTGCAGAACCAGCAAAGAGAAGAGTCCAAGGAAAGCCATATTGGAATAGTTTCAAGCCTGGAAAACAATAATTTACATATTAATTATTAACTATG